CATCTACATAAAAGCTCAAAGAGAGATAAGTGTGCAACGCTATGTTTTCGTGATATCGTATAAAATTATAAGCTCGCGTTCATTGAAACAAAGAGACATGTGCATCGGTCCGCAACTCAGCGCGTCGACACATCAGCCGCAGCAGGGCAGCGAAGAAAACAAACGCAGGTATTGTGCACGCGGGCGCCCTATGTGTATCGCGTACATACACGTTACACACACGTGCAGCCACCGCTGCAGCTGCAGTTGAAAAGCCACACACAACGAAAACAGAGTGAGAGAGAGAGACAAAGTGAAAAAAGTAAAAAAAATAAAAAAGTAGGAAAAAAATGGAAGGCAAAAGTGTATTTTGTGGTACGTCGTTGCTCGGTTGCTTCGTGGTAGTTGTAGTAGTAGTACATAATATACTGCCGCGTATATATATAATACACCCTCTCTCTCTCTCTCTCTTAGCGAGCTCTCGTGTTTACTGGCTCAGCTCTCTCTCTCTAGACGTGGTACGCGCGCGAAGCAACAAGCGAGAACCTCTCTTGTGCCTCTTATGTTCCGCAGCGCGCAGTAACAGCAGCAACAAAGAAAAAGACGACGAAGTAACGAAGCGCAAAGTACGATAACAGATATCTTTTGCAATGTATACTATATATAATAATATAGAAGCGAGCTACGGGGGTAATAGAAGGCCCAACGCTAGCAAGCCTAGCTTCTTTAATATACTCTCTATATAATACTACTACTACTACTCGCACACAAATACGCACACACTTGACTCGTTCGACTCTCCACTCTATATAACAGGCTCCGATCGACTTTTTCTCCGATATATATATAACGCATTTTCTCAACCCTCCCTTACAACTATCCACTATATACCTCATCTCACTGAGAGGGAGAGAGAGGAGAGGAGAGGCCTGGCTTTGATTTTAATAAATCACATTACTTTTGTCCCAGTGCCTGCGCCTGCTGCCGCTGCCTCCACTGCTGTCGCTTATATAGACACACTGTGCGGTCGAGCTCCGATAGTGCGCTATCGTGCATATACCATACTACGTACTTCGCTCTCGATATGCGCCGTAGCGTCGCCTTTTCTCTTCTTCTTTTTTTTTTTCGTCGTTGTTGCTTTGACTCCTTTTTATTTTTTGTCGTCGTCGAAGGCGGCTAAACAGCAGCGGTAGCAACCCGTACCCCCCTTCCCTTCTTTTCTTCCACTTATTTTGCTCTGTACGTCTCTGCTGCGGCGCAGCGCAACTCTTCCGTGTGTTCTCGCTGTTTATATACATTTTTTATCACATTATAGCACGAGTACACTCGACTCTTGTGCGGACGAAACTCTCTCTATCTCGCTCTCACTGTCGCGTATACGTACTACGTATTCGCACATACGTGTATAGGGTGAGTATAAATGCGCGCGTGCACCGAGCTCGATACGAAAATTTGGCGTATCTAGACGAATGGACTCTGGTTTTATTATGTGACCCGACGTCGAGCGGCGGCGACGACTCGGAACGGTACCGAAAAAAAAAGAAGAAGAAGGACCTTTTGAAATACCTCCGAGCGAAGCTCATTTTTACTCTTCCTATATATTTCGTGCGCCTAGCGGTGGTATACGTAGAAATTTTTCAACGGGCTCGTGGCAGCAGATACGGCGAATGTGTGCGCCCCGGATTTCTCTAGCTTCTCTCGCACATATGCACACCGTAGCAGTCGTAGTGGTATTAGTGTAGGCATATTGTATGCGTGTGTGTGCGTGTTTTATTACGAATCGTCGAAACGACTTATTTCGATTTTTTCTTCTCTCTCTCTTCTCTCCTTTTTTTTCGCCTTGTGCCATGCTCACCCATTTTTATTATCGGAGTTTTAACAATTCTGGCACGTATAGGCGGAGTTGATTTTTTCACTCTCTTTCTCGCTCTCTGTCGCTCGCTCGCTCGCTTGCTTCTTTCGTTTCCCATACATACATACATGCGTGCATACATATAGCTGTCGATCGTTCGTAATAGAATTCCTTCTCCATACATATATGCACGGGCACGCAGGATAATTTAAAAAAATCTCGCGTAAATCACTGCACACTCACACACGTTCGCGCATATTTTTCTTCTTTTATATTTTTAACGCTTCGGCTTTATACATATCTAGAAAATCTCGCGCGCAAAGCAGCAGCAGCAGCAGCAGTGCACGAGTCAAAAGAGCGAGAGATATATACTTTAGAGGATCATATCGATAGATATGTATAAAATTTTTATCGGACATATAGTCTCCTCCACACATGGCCTGGCTTCGGTCTCTCTCTCTATGCTATCTCGGGCAAGAGGATCGGATTAAAACGTTATTCACGATCGTTTGCCATTGTCTTTTCTCGATCTCTCTCTCTATCTCTCGGGCGTAGTGAAGCTCTGCTCTGCGGATGAATATATATAGAGCTAGCCCAGACCTCGGCCATACATTTATATGCATATATCCATTACACACGTATGCACACAATTACTGCAACGTTGAAGAACATTCGCATATACGTATTATATACGACATTGACTTCCGCGAAGAGTCGCGTCGTCGTCGCGGCTAATCTTATTGAAGGGTCCGATAGTACTACCGTACTTCCTGCATATGTGGTGCAGCAAGCTCGACGATGCGCACGAAATATCGCCAAGTTTTCGAGAAAATATAAAAGAAAGAAGAGGCACGAAGAAAAAAGTGGTGCTGTGGTGTGGTGCCTATATGGGAGGGAAGGAATCGTACCACACATAACGAGTAGTTGTAGTCGTATAGTCACATGCATATAGCAGTCCGCGCCCACATATGCGTAGCATTTTCGCACGCTCGACTTGGCCCGCACACTACATACCTACACACACACACACACACACACACGCATACATTTCGCGAATTTCATGCGCGCGCACACACACACACACCGATCACCGATCATGCTATATGGAGTTAGTTATATGCAGTAGATACATAGGTATATGTGTATTCAGCTGCGCGCGCGACCTATAACAATAGACACGGCGCGGGATGGAATTTTTTTTTTCTTTTTATTTTACTGCCAAACGCGCGAGTCTATTCCGCGTGTGCAAGCGAGCGATCGAGCGAGTTGGTTGGTTAACCGAGGCCCGCAATCTTTTCTACGCATGTGTGAACATTATAATACATTCCGCGCGTTCGTGTGGCCTTTTTTCGCCATTTCTTTTTTTTTTCTTTTTATTTTTATCGATTCTCTGTCAATCGTTGCCAGTTATGCATACGCGTAAAAACGAAATTAAGGCTCGATCTTCGGCCCGTCCCCCACGAACGTATAGCTCGTTTCCCCGATACGTATCGCGTCCTTTTAACGAAAATTGCGCGCGTATACATATCGAGAGGATCATTTCGATCGTTCTCGACTGCTGTCGTCGCGTCCTTTCTACGTCTGGTCGCGTTGCTACACATATTTCTCAATTTCGCTTCGATGGCACATATCTTTTCTCTCTCTCTGTCGTTTTATCAATCGACGACGCGCCAACGGTATACATTCTAGATATATACATTGTCACACAGACAAACACGTAATAAACGAGAGACACGTACGTATGCGCAATATACGTATATCGCGAAACTTTCTTGTATTACATTCGGCGGAACATTAGCCGCGTGCGCGCCTCGTTATTATATGTATAACTACGGTGTTCGTACTGCGCGCCGTAGACACTGCGCTAATATAACTGCGAACTCATCGAAATGTTCTCGAAACTCTTTCTCTTTCTACTTTGTGTGTGTAGTATGTGATTCTCTCTGGCTACATCACGTGCGCGAGTCTCTACGTACGTACGATATAATGTACACTGCACAATTTTCCATGCATATACCCCGAGTGCTCAGTGTTGTAAGCTAATATAAACAGGCTGCGCGCATTATATGGTTAGATTATATTGAAAGGGAAACTGATTCTGCAGCACAATTATATTCTCTCTCTCTTCTGTGCATATTCTTGCACGTACGTACACAGACACCGCACACACATTATCGCAACTTTTCGCGCTATTAATCGAGCCTGCTGAGAGTTTGGTTTTTAATAAAATAATAACACTACAATACCGATACATTTATAGCTGACGCAAACGAGACTCCGCTTATTGTTTTAATATTTTAACGATCGCGTTGACTTTTGTCGAATTAGTCGACTCGGCAAGTTTTTTTTCTTTCGTTTTCGTCGACGTCGTTAGAGAGTATATTACAGTCGCGTCGACCGATGTCTAAACATAAATTTGACAATTGCCGAATCGATGTTTATAATAACGTTTACAAGGAAACCCCCCCCGAGTCTATTATACAGGATGAAGAAATAACTTTTTTTTACGTACGTAGAATCGGAATAACGCGTAAGTCGGTCGCTATATATCTATTGTCGAAAATTTGCAACTTGCAGCATACGTATAATACACTGCAGGATTGGTAAGTCGACGTTTATCGCGGGGGAGGATCGAGCGAAGAATACGTATACATTGAAGAATAGCCTCAGAGACGCGGAAAAAGCTTGTTTATAGATATACAAACGTATACACATCGGTAACAGCACAAAAGCGAAATAACAAAAGGCAAGTGGATCCTTGCTATATAGACACGAATATAAGTTACGCTCAAGCCAATAATAACAATTACAATCGCTTAAAGGATACAGCGTATTACGTAGAGCTATACACAGCTTTGCGTCTGTGTGTGAGTGTGTGTGTCTTTAGTGGCGGCGGCGGCGGCAGGTATAACGTAACTCAACAGATCGTCCTCCCTTATGCCTTTACGAAAAGACGATAATCCTATTATAAGCTCGCTCGCTCTCGCGGTCGGGGCGATCGTGTGCACGAGGCCGGGGACGAGCTGGAACGCCGCCGCCGCCTCAGCCTCACAATTTCGCGGATATATAATCTGCGATCGTACAATAATAATACCCACGCTCGCGCGTGATATAAATAAATAATCCAAAAAAAAAGAAGAAGATGAAGGAAAGTGTGTCTCTCTCTTACCTCGTACGAGGAGCCTGGCCGGCGGCGATCTCAGTCCGTCCTGCTTGACGAAGTCGCCGGGCGTCACCTGGCACTCCCACAGTCCGTCGTCGTAGTCGAGGCTGGCGCGCTTGATCACCAGCGAGCACTCGCCCGCGTCGCCGTGGTCCCACTCGTACTTGTCGTGCACCATGCCCAGGGCGAAGCGATCCTTCTGCCAGATGCACTGGCCGCGCTTGTCCTGCACGCGGCAGCGCAGCTTGACGTCCTGGCCCTGGCTGACCTCCTGGTACTCGGCCGGCGTCTCGGCGAATCTCTGCTCGGCCGTGGCCAGAGTCGCGAGGATCGCCAGCAGAAGCATCGTTATCGTCGTTATCGAAGCCATGACCGCGAGAAACAGAGATCCGTTGTTGTCGTTGATATTTTATAACTATGTATAGTTTTTTTTTTTTTTTTTTATGTAGCGCACGGGCTCTTGTCACGCCGCGCGTGTTTCGCCCCGATTCTCGCTCTGATTATTATTCCGGCGTTGCGTCGTTGCGCCTCCTATACTTCGATTCTTTCTCCTGCTGATCTATAATGCTACGATACAGCGCAGCAGCAGGCCAGACGTGGATGATCGATCACGTTGACTTCTCGGCATCCTCTCTCTCTCTCTTATGCGGATGTATATTATACTTAACGAAAATCGATCGATCTCTCGATTGGCCAAAAAATCGAGTCTCTCTCACTCTCAGTGTATATCCTGGCAACAATCGGCAATATTATCGCACACACGTATTTACATCCACGAGAAGGAATGATGAACGATGGGCCTCTCCTCTCTCTCTTACTTTTATCTCTTCGAGCTAATTCTCACAATGACCGGTGTCTGTGCTGCGTCGTGAGTCGTTGCGAAGAAGAAGAAGATCGTCTTCTCTCTCTTCTTCCTAGCCGCGGGCTTATCGTCGGGACACGACTTCTCTCTCTCGTACTAGTAGGTGGATATATATATTTATATATCCTTGGTACGATATCCTTGGCCGTCGCTGTTGCTGATCTTATACGTATGCACGGATCCTTTTTTCATCTATATACGGGGGTCGGTCGTCGTTGGTCGCCTGTGTATATGGATTACGATCGATCATTCCTCGCTTTGAACCAGGAACAAACGTTTTCTTAGATATCTCTGGCTGCTGCTGCTGCCCTTAATACCGGTGAACGACGAGGGAGTGGCGCGCTGCACGGCACAGTGCAGCACAGCGAGAGACAGAGAGATCAGTTTTAAAGGCGCGGTTACGATCCGATTCCTGATTTGCTCTCGCGCTCTTGCTGGCGAGTATACACACACACACACACACGAGTAGACTCGATTCCGATCTGTGCCGGGTAAGCGAGTTTATATATATATCTACTACTGTATGCACATGCACTGGCGTAGCAGCGGCGGCGAAGTTGGACTTTCACCTATGCAGACACACGGACGAAGTCGATTGTGTATAGTAGAACGGAGGCTAGCTCACTGCACAGTTCCTTTTTAATTCGCACACACGCTCGGTGTGTGTGTGTGTATACGTTTTGGTATAGTACAGCAGCTGAGCCTAGCTGCGGAGCGGGAGGTGTGTGTGTTTGTATTTATAAAAAAGTGCACTATGTGAGCTTCGACAGGCTCGTGGGAAAACGCAGTCGTCGGGCTCACGTGCGCGCTTAGTATTATATATGCAGACACACCACCGCGCTCGTTACATATATATATAATATACCTGGCGCTCGGTATATAGACAATCTCCTCTACGGTGTGTGCATATAAACTGTCTCTCGCGTTCACTCTCCTTATGCCGCGAGTCGAGAGCGATTATTACGCGCGAGTCTCGGCGCTTTAAATGAAGAAAAAAAAAAGGAGAGCGGCGAAACGATTAGAGCAGCGGATCCTTCCTTCGTCTTCCTCTTCTTTTCTTTTTTTTTTCTCCGTTGCTTCCTTCGCGCCTCGTGCGATTTTGTATATGCACTCGCACGGGGTGGAGACGTCGGCGGCGGTGTGGCTATTATAATGACTCTTGACTGCGCTGCTCCGCGTCTTGATTACGATATATGCGCGTATATTTTTTTGTATTTTACACACTGCGCACTGGAAGAAATTTTGCGCGCAACTATGTTGCACCGCGAGTCGTAACTTTCGGCTCGTTACTTTTTTTTCTGGAGCTTGTGGAGAGAGAAGAGAACGGTTGTGTGCGTGTGTTCGGTTGCGCGCACTTTTTTGACGATCGAGCCGAGTATATGGTCGTACACACTGTGTATTGTTGCTGCTGCTGCTGTGGCGCTTGGTCGAACGCAACAAAAAAAAATAATCATATAACAATCGGCGCTGTTTTTATGTACGCTACTTTTTTTTTATACTTTCACTGGAAATCGTGTGCGCACAGGACTTTTTGTTTCTTGACAACAACGATCACACACAAACAAAAAAAAGTAGAGTGATTCTCTCTTTTTTTTTCGTTATTTAGCACAATCGTATATATTTACGCACTGGTGCACGCACGAAAACACACACTCACTTTTTTTTTTAGATTATTACGCTCGTATTTAACACACTGTAAATATCGCTCTCGCTCTCCCTTGCAGCTCTCCAAAATTCGCGCACTGTTGCAGTAGTAGTAGCAGAAACTGTGTCACGTTCGAGGGGGCTGGCTGCGACTCTTGAAATCCAAAAAACTTTCGCGAAACTTTTTTTCCTCGTGTATGCCGCTATTTCCTTCTCTAACGAGAGTTTTTTTTTATCGCACCGCAACACACGCGTCGACGTCGACGATAGTCAAAAGAGATCGACGACGATCGGAAGCGGAAGAAAAAAAATAGGGAAAACAACGAGCGATCATCGATCAGTGGTAGTAACACGGCACACGCACTAACTTTTCGCACTCGCGTTAAGAAAAGGAAAAAAACCCCGAAGGAAATATCGTTACACCTGAGTTACACGCGCAGGGCACTTTATACTGCCCCTTTGCACTGTACTTCACAGTCCCTTTGTATATTTACCATGACAACTGGCCATTTTCGATATATATATACGATGTTATTATCCTACGTATATACGAGGTTCGGTTAGAAACGCGCGCGCGGGGCACACACGGCTCCGTCTGTCCGTCTCTCTAATACGCCGGGCTCTTGCTCGTGTATGCGCGCGGCTCGCGCTCGCATGACAGAATGCCGCGACTCGGCTCGAGCACGAGCTCGTTCGCTCGCTCGCTCGGGCCGCTGCTTATAGCAGAGCCGCCGTTTTGCGCTGCCGTTGCTTTCGACGCTCTCCGTGGCTCACTGGGGGGAGCGCCACCTTCGCTGCCGCTGACGCTTTGCGCTGCACAGCTTTCCAACTTATGTATATAGGACTAATGCTACTCCTTTCATTGTGTAGTATCGCGATGCTGCTGCGTGTGTATATATGCACTCGCGAATGAGTTGCGCGGCCGCTAAGTACGGTCCGGCACTTCTGCACTTACGGCCGAGAGCTGATATCGCGCAACGCCAAGAGAGAGAGACAGAGAGCGAACAATGCGTTTATATATAATACATTATTATGTGTGCAGTGCGAGAAGAGGCGCAACAAATCGAAATAATGGGCCCTGCTGCTGCTGCTGCCCGCATTCAGTCGATCGATCGCGGCCGGCGCATATTACGTATGCGTTTTGAGCTGCTCGAGGCAACACCACCGATCGCCCGACGATATATTTATATACAAAAGCCCGAGCGAGACAGTCAAATTAGCCTTTCGCGCGCATTGTTTGCATAGCAGCTCGTTTCCTCCGCGCCGTGCCGCATGCAAATTGTGTGTATATGCACCTACCTACCTATACTCGCGATCGGCCTCGATGCATCTTCTTCTTCTTCTTCTTGCTTCTCATCCTTTTACTCGGTGGCTTACGCGATGGGCGGCTGCGCGCGAGGATTTATACATCGATCTCTCGCGCACGTAATGCTCTACTTGGTGCTGCACACACACACACACGTGATTTCTTTATCTCCGCGTGCACGCGTTTATATACGGGTGTACTGTGCATAATGCGGTGGCCGATTTTTATTATTAACTACACATATGTATGCGCGATTTTGTATGCGCGGGGAGAGACGGCGACCGATCGTTGTCCGCGATCTCTTCTTATGGCCGCTGCTACCGAGCCGAGCAAATTGAGAAACGCCGCGACGCTGCAGCGGCAGCAGCAGCTCGACATTGCGTATATTTGAATAAATTTGTACTCGTTATTTTCGACTCGCTCGCTGATTCTTTCGCGTTCCTTCTTTTTTTTCTTCTCTGCCGTTGCGACTTGCGTAAATCTCCGCTGCTTCTGTACAGTATGCTTGCAGCAACTACATATATATGTGTGTGTGTGTATAAAGTGGTATAATAGAGCTTTGTTAGCCGAGCGCAGCTTTAATTGGCCCTTTTCAGAAAAGAGAGAAAGAGTAAGAGAGAAAAACGAGAGATACCATATCAGTTTGGGCGTTGTGTGTGTGTGTGTGTGTGAGTGAGCGCGTGTCCTTTTCTGGAATTCCATAGCTTTATATATATCGCGCAGGCAATGCCGGGGAATGAGATTGCTCAACTTTTAGGCGCCGAAACCTGCAGCATTGCACCGCCGGGAAACTGAAAAACTTCGAGACCGATACACCCGCTTTATAGCCGCTCGAATGAAAGAGAGAGAGAGAGATAAGGCTTTAAATTTTTAATCCAAGCACGCCATCGTTTAATCTGCCTCTCGGAGTGAAAAACGGAAGATCAAAATTGCATTATGACGTAATTTATTTTGATACATAAACGATAATCAAATTATTGTTCCTCCCGTATACACCGATAAGTCGAGTCGCGTAAAATCCAATATTATCGGCATCGATTCAATTACCGATTCCAAGAGGATTCGGGTTGACCTATATACAATATAAATAATAGGAGTCAACGGCGCACCAAATGATCATCGTCATTCGCGAATGTACAGTCGAACGAAGAGACAAAAGTTACGAGGAAAAATAATCGCATCATCGACCCGAAGCTCGCGCTCAAAAATAATATAACTTTTGTGTAATAATAATGATAGCCACACCGCCGCCAGCAGTGCACCACCACCGCAGCTGCACACTGCACCGCTGCAACATAAGACAGCGCGGCGTTATATACATAGATAGATATGTATGTATGTAGTGCCGCACGCAACTCTATATATATACTGCATATTACGGCGTTTTCTGTAACGAGCTGCCCGGCCCCGCGCGCAGACCGACATTATTATTGGTTTCGTTTTCAATAGTTCGCGCGCGCCTTCGCGCATTCTATAACGGCCGAGAACGCGGGTATACAATTTTACAGTATATAATAATAATCATAACAATAATGATGCGATATATAACTATTCGCGTCTGATATACGAAGAAAACCGTCATTTAAGAAAATCGCTTTTAAGTAATGGCTATGCTCTCTCTCTCCTTCTCGGCGAGAGTATGTATATCTATACGAGTGTAATGCAATACAATACCTAAATGCTGTTATAGCCATTAATGCAAGCTTAGGTATTTCCGAGTGCGCTCGGCCAGTCGAGCGCTAACGAATCAATACCCCATTTATTGCGTACATACACTCACACTTATACCTATAACGCGTATGTATTTTCGAATATACCCGGCGTCAAAAACGTTTTTGAATTTTTTCTTTCTGCCTTTGTTTTTTTTTTGTTTTGTTTCATTGTTGTTTTTATAAACCATCAACGCGCAGCGCCGAGATTTATTATTTTCGACACTTGCGCACTCCCGGAAAAGTTGACGCGATGAAAAATGAACTTTTTCTCTTTCTCTCTCTCTCTATATTATCCATGAACAACCAGCGACACACACACACCACACACTCGAGAACTGAGAGAGATGTGTCATTGCGCATAGGGATGCTGCTAGATCGCACGGATTTAAAAAGTCAGTTTGAATTTATTCAAAAAAGTAAAAAAGTATAAAAACGAAAAAATATCACGCGGATTATATATATTAGAAAAAAAAAAGAAGAAGTGAATCCCGAAAAGCGCTCGGGAGCTCCGTGACAGCTGAGTGCAAGGCAGTGATTTTTCGGTTTTCATATGCAAGTATATAAATAAATAAATTTTCGAGTCGTTACATTTATACAGTACCCGAAATGGCGATGCATTTGTATTGTTTTGTCAGCCAGAGTGACTATATACGTGTATCTCGGCACGTAAATATGATATGAATTTTTATTACGGAACTTTTCCGTATGTACACACAGTATAGGGCCGGGACCAAAATGCCTATACCGCGTGCGCAATATCGCGAGTGAAGGAGTCGAGCGAGCATTGAGCGACGAAATGTGTATACCGTGCGGCATACATATATCGAGCGCGAGCTCGAGTCGTGCGGCTGTGCGTTTTTCGTATACATATAGGTATCGCATAATTGTGTATAATGGAGTGGCCGCCGCCCGCTTTTGTTTTCGAGCTCGTTTCGCTTCGGGTGAAATATCGAATTTTTTCATACTGACCACCGCCACTACGACGACGACGAGTATATGGCTCCGAGGGCGACGTGACGCGCCGAGCGAACGAGCTCTGTGTACAAGTGTGTATATGTATAATTCGACGCTGAGTGAAAGACAAAACCAAAAAAAAAATGGAAAAAAAAACAATATTACAGGAAGCGTCACGAGAGAGAAAGAGAGAAAGAGAGAGAGAGGGACAGAGACTCGGGGGGTATGTACGCGATATATAGCACAGAAAGGCGCACGTGCGTGTGCCTCCTTTAATCCTATTAAAAAAGGAGCTCTCTGGCTCTCGCAGCTGCATGTGCTCGTTATGTATACGTGTATGTGTATATGTACGGGAAGAATTCCGTAATCGCGTGTAGTGGCATGGCCACACGACGACGATCATCGACACACAAAACCCCTTTCGCGCAGCTCGAATTTATATACATTATATATCCTACGTACACACGCATACACAAACGGGTAATAATATTAAATCCCTGTGCATGTGTATGCGAAAGCGACAGCTCGAGGTAGGCAGCAGAGAGTGAGCCTCCGTTGAAAATATAATAATCGCATTTCGAAATTAACCGCACACAATGGGAGCATAAATACGTGACGTATATACAAAACGAAGCAGCAGCAGCAGCAGTCTCGAAATCAAAGGAAGAAGAAGAAGAAGAAGAAAAAAGTTTCCGAGTCGCGAGGTCCTCTCTCTCTGCACTGCGATGTGTAAGAAGGTAGTAGCGGTAGAAAATGTTTTGGACCACAATTACCCTAATCCTCGGGAAAGACTCTCTCGCGAGTCGGATTTCCGTCTGAAATTCGTCTTCGTGGTCTGTGTATGTGTATGTGTGTGTGTGTGGTTCTCCCCCGCGCTCTCGTATACCCAGGCCTAGAGAGAAGAGAGAGACAAATCTTGACAAGATGAAAAAAATGAAAGGAAGGAAAGAAAAGAAGAGAGAGAGAAAGAGAGGAAAGGGGAGAGGAAAGGGAGCGGATGTAAGGAAAAAAGGTGAATAAAAGGAAGAAAGGAATTGCGAAAGAAAGAAAGAAAGTAAGTAAGTGAGTAAGTGTATTATATAGGGCTGGGAGCTACATAGCTATAGCATAGCTATAGCTGCAGTGGTGCGCTGCACGTGGTGCTCTCTCTCTCACTCCCTCTCGTATATATACAGCAGAGCCTGTCTACGCAGCGACGACGACGACGACGACATCCGTGCGCGACGTGCGGTTCAGGGCGAGGAAAGGGCGCAGCAGCAGCAGCAGCAGCGATATAGCTTTAATGTACAAACTGCGCCATATACACATATAGTCGTTATTCGTCGCTGAAAATCAAAGTCAAAAGAGGAGCTGCGCTGCTGCCTAGGCCCGGTGCTGCGATATATACACAACGCGTGCATTATATATTATATAGTTATGAGCGCGCGGGCCTGCGTTTCAAGGAAAAGGAGCCTCCGCACGCATACGCGGAATATTAAGCGCGTGTGGGTGTGTGCTCGCGAAATAGCTCTGCACACGTATATGCACATAGACTCGTATCAGGAGCAAATTTTAGAGTGTACGTGTTGAGGGGGACAAGTTAGCTTTAAAGAGAGAGAGATATAGAGTATAGTAGTGTGTGTATGCGTTGCTCATGCGGCTGTGTGTGTGTGGCGGAAGACGTG